CAGAGTATCACAGAACTTTTCTAGCACAACTCTAATTCTCCTCTGAAAATGTACACTTCTCTCAGAAACACATTCCCAGCACAGGGACTGGTAATTTATGATCCACCAAAATACTCCATTGAACAAAAAGAGTAATACCTACAGTGCGCCTATGCAAATCACTAAGAATAAGTGACTCTAAGGATCAGTAAGAACAAAGCCCAAAACTCCTATCAAACATTATTTGAGGTTTGAAAAAGTCAAGACAAAGTGTAATTTTTTTTAAATGGGGATAAATTGGGATTTCTGTAACAATTGACTCATTTTGCCTGCTTTTATCTAAGGATCTCAAAGAGCACTCCAAGTGTTAATTAAATTACAAAGCATTTTTGAGACAGGTAAATGGTATTATGCCCACTGGGGAACAGAGAGAACATTTATGTTTCATTACTAAAGTCACACAGTAATTCAGTGGCTAGTAATATAACCCAAGAATTACCAGTCGCCACTTCTACTCATTGACCTGGTGGCCTCCACAAGAGAGAAAATTAGCCTTAAAAGCCAAAAATACTTTCCTCTTGTGCTTTTCTATCTTCCAAGAGTTAGGACAAGATTTTTTAATTTTATTTTATTTTTCTTCCTCTGCTTACTGGGAGGCCTTTCTTCCAGAGTGGCACAAAAGAAGCCACTTCCTAACCTACCCAAGTGTGTTAAGGATCACAGTACAGCAATACAGAGAGGAAACCAAACAAGGGCAGTGAACTGTAATGCTGCTGCTTAACAGCTTACGCAGCTGCATCAGGATCCTCTTCGCCCTCTTCTAACAGTCATACTCCCAGAGATGACACATAAGAGCCTCTATCCCATCAGAATGAAGATAGAAAGATGTGCAGATGAAATAATCCTTTGCTGAACCACTTCACCCACTTCCAATCCTACTTTACCAAAGAAACAGACATAAAACTACCCTAAAGAACCTGATGCCTCACACACATCATATAAAAATCTCCCACTGAAAGGAACAACATAAGAAACAACCAACAAGGCCCTGAAAATGCTTTCAACCATGGAGAAGTCTATTCTGCAGTATACTACCATCTATTTTGAGTGGCGTGCAAAGAGATGAGGGAGAAACATTCCACTGTCCATTCTATTCTTAGCCAGAAAAATGAAGCCACCGTTTTTCATTCTGGCTTGGTCCTGACTCATACAACTGCAGGATCCACGAGTAATAAAGCAACAAGATATAATGCAACCTGCACAATAGACAGTCCAGTGACTTACAGTGCAACCTAAGGCATCTCTAATTCAAGACTGCTACAGCTCCACTAGAGCTTTAACAAATTACATCTCCATTAGTAAACTGATTTTGGAGAGTTCTTCACAAAAGGTTTTTCTGTTTTGTATATAATTATTAAATACTAAAAAAAAGGGAAGGACCTTTTTGAACTTTCTTTAAACCTTTTGAATACAATGTTAAACCAAGATTTCAGGCCCACTCCTCATTCCTTGTTATGTCATGAAGAATCAGCTGTGTGGAAGAGATGAGAATGTCTTTGATTTAAATGACCAAGGCTTAAGATCATCTTTACCGTGGCAGAAAATAAAGCTGCTGCAAATATTTTTAGTAGTAATGTTATTGTTATATGGTATGACAATCATCATCTTTTTTTCTTTTCCTAAAAATATGTCTAAAGAACCACACAGTTTATATTCTGCATGCAAAATATTTTTCTTCGTTTACATTGATTGCATATTTCAAATCATGTTACAGCTGTATCGCTTAGCCTAAATCAAATAAGGAATCCACATAAATGCATACACACACTTTCCTTGTCTTTAGACATTGCCAGTATTGACAAGATTAAAATATTTTTCCCATTCATTATTTATTGTGATATGATGAAACAGTAAGAGTATGTATTTAACAGAACATCACAAAGTAGAGTTAAAATGTGGACATGCTGTTTCATTTTGATTTTACTGCGACAGTGTTAAGTATGTGACTCCCTGACTGCAATAATGACATCTTTGGGTGATGAAGATTTAAGATGCTTTGCAAAGATGCAGTGTTATCCAAACTCTTCAGCCATGCTGATTAGGAGCATTATTAAACAGATAAAGCCAAGACTGGAAAGAGTACCGTGACTGAAGTCACTCCTGTTGCAGAGGACTGACTGGGAGAATCTTGCTCAGTGCAAGAGCAGCAAACTCCCACACCACATCAGGTACATAACTGGAATGACTGGAAGGCAGGCATAGATATAAAACTCCAACACTTTCACCAGCACCAGCTTTTTTTGTTACTAAAAGAGCGTCCTCTGGATAATTTCTCTGCTTTTAGGTTGAACTGGTACCACCTGACAAGTGGAGTCTGGGATCAAGCAATGCTAAATCTGGTCAAACCTCAAGTACAGGGTAGATGTGTATGAATTTGTTTTTCAGATGTATGTACCTTGGATTGAAGACCAGAGACATAGCGCTGCACGATCCCAGTTTTCAGCTCACAGTTGGGAACCATTCTGCACATTTCTACTGGCAAAGCAGCAAGGTAATGACAAAGAGAGCACAGCACAGCAAAGGAACTGTAACCAGAGCTGGTACTGTGGGGCAGGGGAGCACAGAGCTTGCCTCCTGTAGTATTTAGTGGTATCTGGGTTAGAATGCAAAAAAAGACAGACATTTTAGCCCCAATGCTTATTCTTGCATACTACAATCTAAATATACCCCCTATGATAAATACAGCAGAATAATCAGAAGGTACTGAATGCTTAAAATGCATCCTTAACAAAACAATGTAATGCATATCTCTCTTTACGTGTCAAACAATTTGCCTAACAAATCATAATAATGCAGAATGATATAAAATTCACCCATCAAGCCCAAATGCATGCACAAAGATTACCATGGCAAAGAATTGTGAATTTCATTAAATATGTTAAAGGCAAAAAAAAAAAAAATTCAGCTTTGAAAAATAGTAATCCTGTCTTTCAACAAAAATATTATAGGAAGCTATGAATTTGGTAGATCTGAATAGGATGTTGGTACATGTTTTACTAAGGTAATATAATGGCACACTATTATTAGATCACATTAATCATTACTGTGCCAAAGGCACTGACAGCACCACTGAAAAGGATTGAAAGGGCTGGTAATGGATATAAATTACCCATTGTGTGATAAAAGGATTTTTACTAAGAAGGTAAGAATAAAACAGCAAATTTCTAATATAACTGTTGTGTAAAAACCAAAATAAAAGTAATCCAGTCAGTAATATCCACAAAATCAGAAAGTAAGCACTTTTGAAACAAGATAAAGTCACAATAAAAACTGTATACAATGTAAAATTAATTTTGTGGTGCATAATATTACTATCAATTTAAATAGTTTACATGATGACCTCTAAGGGGTATGGTCAAGAGAAAGGTAAGCTTTGTTAATTACAATCGAGTATGAGCTTCTGCTTGTGTATTTTAAGTTTGTGGGTTTGGAATTTTTTCTTAGGTTTGGATATTGTTTTTTGTTGGGTTTTTTTAACCAATAATGGCTTCATGACACCACCACCCACACCCCCCACCCGCCCTCCGCCCAAAATTCAGGACATGTTGTGAGGTTTCTGTTTTCTGCATTAACATCACAACAAACAGCACATCTCTCAGATGGTTTTATTTGGATTCCAAATGCTATTACAAAACGAACCACGTCTTTGCTGAGCTATTTAACCATTTGATTGAAACCATTTGTATTACTAATTGTCCAGTTCTGTGCTCCTCCTTTACTCTGGTAAGTATTTCCTGATATTAGTAGGGATCAGTGAAGTGAATTGGTCAAACTACATCCTTATTTACAGCATTAAAAATCCGCATTTCTACTTTGAAGTTGATGGAATTATTCTAGAATCAAGTCACTGTAATTCTTTTCAAATCAATTGTCTAGAATAAAATCCAGTAGCTCACATTCAATTAGTGAGTTTTAAAAATTGTGAGCCATATTCTTAAATGATATAAATTCATAAGTACAGACATCAATCCTGAAAACACTTACGTCTATGCTTAACTTTACTCACGTGAGTAATTCCATTAGCATCAGTAATTCAATACCTGCTTATGCATTTGCAGTACTAAAGCTTTAATATGCCTGAATATCCTCTCACTTACATCAGCTATAAATCAGCACAATTCCCCTAAATCACACACTTTCTACTGATTCAGAAGATATAAAAATGAGTGGACAATCCAGTATAACAATTATAATACAGAAATAACATAAGAATTTGATTTGGGAGCAGAAGCTATCAGAAATTTTGATTTAAGAATCAATTAATGTATGTAGAATGTAGAATTAATTATTGGTTATTTCCTAGGAAGCTAGACTTTTATTTCAAACTGAGGGCCAAATAACCCAATTCTGATTTCACACCGATTTCCACACCAATCTGATTTCTCAGACTTTACAGGAGCTTTTCTTCTATTGCACTGGAATAGCTCAGAGGAAAATCACATATACAATGTAGTACACCCCTCCACTCGCTGATTTTCATGGGTGTTCTTCTCATGCTAATATACAAGAGAATATGGTTCTTAATAATATGCATGAGATGTTCTATTGAACTTATGGAAAAAAACAACAAAAGTGATAAAATGAATTTAATCATGAGTGTCATGGATTTTTTTTTTAAATCAGCAGTCTGTTGATAAAGTAATAAATGATGATTCATCTCTAACACAATTATTACATATCAACTGCGTAAGATGAATGCTCGTGATTTTAACAAGCAGATTTTTTTCTTGGAAAATCTATTTGTAGCTCACTACACCCTGAAAGAACTACAATGAAAAGTTTTGCTAAAGCCATGAAAATAACATTTTTGAAGATGTAAAAAACCATGAGAACAGATTTTAAAATTTAATTTAGGTATCTCATTGTTATGTAATTTTTTTGATGTGGAGAAACAAACCTGAAAACTCAGATCCACAAGCAGAAGAAAATGTTATGAGAACAATATAAGTAAGTATTCTTACCAGTTACTCTTAAACCAACGAATCTGTTCCCTGGCTGAGGAAATTCTTAAAAGACACAGGATAGGTACTGAAGGTCGCAACTGTAAAAATAAAACCTGTGAGAAATTTAATATGTCAAAACTCAGTGTCTGAATCAGATATTTACATTAAAATATTACAATGCCACCTCAAGCAGACAATCTACAGAGAAGCAGAGAGTATTGACAATTAGGGTATTAATGGGATTAACACCTTTTATTTTTTAAGCCTTCATAATGTATGTGTTTGGTAGTCATTTCATTTTGGGAACTGAAAAGTTATTTCAGTTCTGGATTGTTTTGAGACAGAAAACCTCTCCTCAAGATAATGCTGAGGAACAGAATGAAATTCTTCTGATCCCTTCCCCTAGATAGTGAAGCAAGAGAGGACAAAACAGGATAAAACAAAAGTTGCACAGCATACTCCAGAAACCCAGTTATTCTCTTTGACATTGATATTCTAATCTTTCAAACCAAGTAAAAAGAGAACAGCTACTAATTGTATTTTTACTTTTTTTTAATTCCATTTTATAACAGAAATAAGTCCTTTGTAGATGATCTCATCTAATAAACCCTACTTAAAAGAGATAAGAGCTAGCAGTAAAAGCCAAGCCAGAATACTTCCAAGATATTTGTCAGTAGTGAATTTAGGGCCATTACATTAGTAAGCAAAATAGAAACAAAAACAAAGGGCGTTCTTAGAGCAAAATAAAGTTCACTGGACTGAAGCTATAATCTGAAGAATTTATGGCTGAGAATTCTAACTATGTTTATTCCTATGCGTGTCTAACAAATGAAATTAAAGGTCACTTCCAAATAATACATTTTGTACATCTGCATCAACCAAACTATTTCATACAGCAGGCTCTGTCTCTGAAACCCCTGGTCAAGCTCCGCAGCCTTAGGGCTTCACCTTACCAACACTGATTTCCCAGAGAACCACTGACTTCTCCACCGAGCCCCAGTGGCAGGCTGTGGTGGTCAGTGTGTACAGAATTGCATCTTTCATTTCTGTGGGAAATAATTAAGAGCTTGGCCATTTTATTGCATTTGGTTTAAATCATTCAGCACCAACAGGACCACACTGCTGGGCAATGCCGTTTGTTGACTTGAAGGATAAACAACAATTTTAAGGACTCCTATTGATGATGAAAGCAATATTAAATAATTCTGCAAGGAATTCACTACTAAGCAGCACAGCCCTCCACTAGTGCAATACCAACACAACACTTTCCATGTACCCTCTAAGATCTCTCCAGACTTTGCCTTGTCCCAACTACACCCAATGTAAAACGCTACTGCAGAATATCCCACTTTGTCCATGCCACCTCCTCTTCTCACTCATTTGGTTCCTCCACCACACCGAACGCAGGCTAATTTTCATTTTGATGGTCTACCACAACATTTCCTGATTCCCACTCCTTCCCCCCCTCACTTGCAGATTGAACCAGTCTGTATCACGCGCTTTGAAATATTTTCCAAGTGATAATTCTGCCATACAGCTTCTCTGACATAGGAGAATTACCCCAGTAAAAGCTTCAACCCCCTCCTTTATAACTCACATTTCCACAGTTAACTGCCAACAATTCAGCAGTAGACATCTGGTTTGCCATCGCCCCTGTTTCTCACGCGTAGGAACACATTTCTTTTTTGCTCTCTCCTCATGCCTAGTTTTCTTTTACATGCCAGTTGTCTCTGGTTTTACACTTGAACTAGGCAAAGCCTATCATTGTGTATTTTACCTTATTGAACTCAATGGGTGATAAGCAAGCACAAGTCCATCTCGTGCCCCATTTTCCATGGGTACATCTGGCTACACGAGAAGCAAACCACTGGGCGGTCAAGCCAAGCACCTACCATGTTGGTTGGACAGAATTAAAACCTTTTGTAAACAGTTAAAAAACCAAGCCACTCTGCATCAGATTTGGTCTCCCCAAATAGGAAATCATATCTAGACAGGATACAAGTCCCATTTATAAAGGCCCATACTATTTTAGAATTCAAATAAATGAATTTTGGTTACAATGTTTGGGCATACAGGAAAAGCAAATTCCTGGACTGCCACATATAAACACAGAGCCTATCCAATGTTTTCAGTTGCACAGTGTCTAAAAAACAGTGACAGCTTGTTTGTCTGGAATTTCTGCAGTTGTTGATGTCTTAAAACCTCAGGATATACCTTTATAATGTTTACTCGTAGCTCATTCAGTGTAAGAAAGCCAAGAAATAGAAACAAAGATGATAATATGCTGTTAGGTTTCGAAAAAGATGTTATCTCGCTGAACAGGTTCCTAGTACTCCTACGCCAACATCGTAGACTACATTTTTGCTGTGCTATTACAAGGCTACTTATGTTTAAAAAAAAAATTCAGATTTTACATACACGCTCATGACTTGCAAAATTCTAGGAATGATTCTCAAGGGGCTTTCACTAAGATGCTTTATAAATTCTGATGACAGACAGAACACAGTAAGGCTTCATCTCTTAAAGTCCTGTACTGATTTGTTTGGAGGCTTCGTGTCATTGATCAGCACGTCAATGTCTCTTGCAATCTGCTTTCCAGTTCATGACTGTGAGTGAACCCCTCAGGTTTAAAACCTTAAATGATTTAAGGTCTGTGATACATAACCTTACGAACAAATTGGGAAAATCTGTAGCTTTACACATTAAACTGTAGCAGAAATGATTTAAAGCCTTATAAAAAGGTATTTTACTTACCTGTGCTAATATTATTCTAACACATTTGACACTGACTATGTAAAGCAGGTAGTTTAAAGGTACAGGCAGCGAGCTGCATGGAAACAAATTAAGATAGTTCCACTTAGGTCAAATTGGGCCAGTTTACCAGTGTCTAATACACTTGCTGGCATTAAAAAATTGCGCCGTGAACCCCTACAGACCAATTTATCACGGCAAAGCCTCCCCAAGTAACACTCCCGTGCAGCTGCTCTCAGCTCAGCAAGTGAGCTTGTTCCCCCAGCACACCTCTACCCTCGAAGAGGAAGAAAGCCCAAAGATCTTCAGGATGGTAAAATAAAAGTACTATCGAGACATAACTGGGGTAGAAGGGCACAATTTTTGTTCATTCTTAAACATGCTTACGTAGCTCATTCCTTGAAATGAATTACAGACATTAAAGGGAGAAAGCAATCTCTCGTCCCATTGATGAGTGGGAGCTAGCACGATTTCTGCAGGTTATGGGTGGAAACCTAATACACAGCAAGGGAAAACAGGTGCTCGAGCATGGACTTGTTCTAAATGATGGGATTTCTCCCCAAATAGTGAGGCTGCAAAGGTTTCACTGCAAGGCTCTTAGCACCACATCCCATTCCGGTTAAACTCAATGACAAAACCCCTGCTAATCTCAAGGGGACAAGGCTTGGGCCCTCTGTAAACAGTGTACCCTTTCTGATGGAACGAGGTGTCATGTTTAAATAATTATTCCCTATCAGCTGCTTCTTGAGGGCCTCTTGAAATGCTGTGGCATAGCTGCTCTCACCCTAGGCACATCAGAGATGCAAGGACAGAGATTCACGGGCAGGGAAAGAGGCTCAATGACAGGACGAAGGCAGCCCAGCAGCCGTGTGGGACACCCTTCACGGGCCTCCATGTGAACGCAGCATCTATTGTACATGCAGGATAAGACCGACGGTGCCTTAAGGGTCCATTTAGTGTCACTGGGAGTTACATGCATAAACGAAGAGAGAGAAACAGTCCCTAAAGCAGGACGTTGGAATAAATCTCAGTATTTTTCCACTGTTCCTGAAAAAACATAGGGGCTGACACCACTTTTCTCAGGCTGGGCCACGGTTTCCACCCGTGTCACAGCAGCCTCCCCAGCCAGGTCCCAGCCATGCACCAGGCCTCCCTCGTAGCCCCAGCATCAGACCTTGCTCTCTGTGCACCCTGCCCAGGCACTCAGATCTCCAACACATAAAACTGTCTGCCTATAGACACAAGGTACTTAAAAATTCAAATCTCACCACGACAGGATTTGCCCACGTCTCCTGGCAAATCTGCGGTGTTTGATCTAACATCCTTTCAGGGAGGCTCCTTTACATCACTGAGATCACGCGACAAACTACCGCTCTCATTTTCCCTCCTGATGTAAGTAAGTAAAAGACTGCAAGGAGAACAGGACAGGAATGCACATCATTTAAACTTCCTGGGAGCCAGGGGGTTTGCAAAAATATTCTATCAAAGAGGCACAACTCTCTTCAGCTCCTTAGGTTTTTCTACACACGTTTGTGCTTCAAACATCGCGGTTTATATTTGTTTTGTGCAGTTTCTACCTTGCTGTGGTCTTTGACACTAACACCACCGTTAACCTGCCCCTGTTAGGAAGAGCTATCAGTTGCAAAACTAATCGCTTACTTCAGCATGGTGCTGCTCGCTCCTGCCTTTCCTGCTCAGGCCTGATCCAAAGCCCTAGAAGTCAGGAGACATCGTTGGACGTGGTGGATCAGGCCCTGCAGCAGACCAGGAGTTCAGCATGACTGCTAATGACATCTGTACCGCTGGTGGCAAGCACGGTTTAACTGTGACTTGGCACTTGCCACTGTGGATTTGGAAAGGGGTAGGATCCAGCCCGAGGGGCCACATCGTGCCCTGGGAACATGCAGGCACACTTCCCCGGTGCCAGCAGGAGATCCGCACAGCTGGGGTTACACCATCCGTGCCCCGGTGCCAGCAGGAGATCCGCACAGCTGGGGTTACACCATCCTCCAGTAATCACACACTGGGGGGGAACCTTCCCCACTGCTCAAGTGGGGTCCCTGGGGGCAGAGGAGGAGGAGGGTGAAGGAGCATCCCAAAGCAGCAACCCCAGGGGACAGCAGCTGCTGCCCTCCTGCCCCACTGATGCAGGGCAAGAGGAGGGCTTCCAGTAGCTGCTGCACATACCAGCCCCCAAGGACAGCCTCTGCTGGCTGGGGTGCCCCAGGGCTGGCACGCAGCTACCCTAGATGACACCCCCCCGGGCCAGCTCGCACCCAGGGGCTGTCCTGGGTGGCAGTGAAGTGCCTGAAGAGCAGCACCCAAACCCTGCATCCCCACTCTGGGGAGCTGTGCTGGGGCT